ATTACATTTATGACAGACTTCAGCAGTTTGGTGCTCAAACCGTACACATCAATATTATTTTTACTTTTGAGGCTGGAAATTATAGGTCTGTTTCTGCAGAAATCACAAACCAGTCAGAGCGAATTTCATTGGATGAAAACAGTCAGAAACAGTCAGAAAACTAGTTTCAACCAATGAAATTCACTCTGACTGGTTTGTGATTTAACGGACCTTATATCCCTTACTTCATTGAAAGTGACCTCCCGAAAAGAAATTGATTGCTCAGGCAAGGAGAGGCCTCTCAAGGCTACCACAGGATCTACGTGGGTCTTTGGTATATCCTCTATTAGATGGTGTGCCATGTTGGCAAAGTAGGTACTAAATTCATTGGGAGCTATTTCACATTGTTCATTATGTTTTGAAGATATATTTCTATGCTTATTGATTAAAGACCACAAGCACCTAGTTGGATTAGCACAGGAATTGATAAGATGGTCATTTGAATTTTTCTTAGCCTCTCGAATGGTATTTCTCTACAAAGTCCTATATTCCTTAAACTCCTGTGAGAATACTGGACGATCACACTGCCTGCTCAAACTGCCAAGTAAGTTAATATGCTCACGCATAGCCCTCAAGTTATCATTAAACCAGCTTATGTTCCTATTCTGGTCCGATCTTACCAAGTAAGTTTTCTCAGGGAATGACCTCAGGTAGGCCCTCTCGAAAACATTCATAACCATGGTGGACTTTCCCTCAGCATTCATCTCGCAAGAGCTCAAAAAATCCCATGCCTCTGCAGTCATACACTCATGGAACACAAACATTCCTGACATTGTAATCGGGCTGCATACCTTTCTTCCCAGTTCAAAGCCTCTGGGTGAGGTGGCCACATTGAATTCAATCTGTTGACCCAGATGATCAGAAATGCTATCAGTTTTCGCAACAGTATACAATGAAATGCACAACGCCGCCATTATAGACATCGTTGAAATCGCAATTTCACCAAATATGGATGCCTTAAAGGATATTATCCACAAAGAGCATGTTATTGAAAGTTATAATTAAAATAAGTTGCAATAACTACATCAGTGTTATTATTATAAGAAGCAAGAATCATCATAAAGATAAGACAAATTGACGTACCATCGTCATCAAAAGTAACTGGGACAGCATCCTATTAGCTCTTGTACTATTATATGAATTTTATGAGATTATTATGCATTATTTTTGTCCCAGATACTTTTGGTGACGATGGTACATCTGTAATTTGTTTCACAGTATGATCTGGAGCAAAAGATACGTGCATTTCACACATACAAATCATACTACGTTATAAAATGAAATCCATCTGTATAATGGTATAGAACGTGAATACGCGTCCCGGATAAGGATGCACTCTACAGCGATCTCAATTCAACAATTCTATGATATTGTGGAATCCCACTCGCATGGGATTTCATCTCAGAAAATATCTCTGCTGATGAGAAATTTGAGATTTTCATTAATAAAATCCAGGATGCATATCTGGAGTCATTCCCTGAAAAATCCTACTATTCAAGGGGTGACCGGCCGCATAGCATATCATGGTTTAGTGATGCTCTACGTAAAATGAGGGATCACTTAAATTTTCTGGGGGAAGTGTGCAAAAAATATAATACCCTGGGAAACAGAGAGGAATATAGAGGTTTCAAAAGGGTTTACAATAGGGCCATTAAACAAGCAAAAAAACAAGCTAACGATAACTTAATAGCAACTTCAAAAAGTCCTATCAGGACAATGTGGAACATCATTAACAGTCATAGAGGAAATTTCAATAAATCTGAGTTGCTACCTAGCATAAACCTTGAAAATTTCAATTGCTTTTTCTTGAACATCCCAGTTAATATAATAAATAAAATTCCAAAAACACATCCAAGTCCCCTTGAGGGGTAAAGGAAGAATTTTCATTTGGGGAAGTTAGCTATAATTTTGCGAATGATGTTATAGACAGCTTGAAAAATAAAAAAAGTGGGGATATATATGGGTCTCAATGTACAGTTTATCAAGAACATAAAAAATATTATCTTGGTACCATTGACAAAGATGATAAACCTATATGCTTTAGAGAGAATACATTCCCTAAGTCACTCAAGAGGGCTGTATTAATTACTCCGATTTTAAAAAAATGGGACAGGAATGACATTTCTAACTATCGTCCCATCTCCTTGTTGTCAATTTTGTCGAAGGTAATTGAAAGGTGCATGGCATGCAGGATTACTGACTTCTTTGAGAGCAACAGCTTGTTTACTGATAGCTAGTTTGGGTTCAGAGGGGGAAAAGGCACAGTTCTTATGCAGTCCTCAATCTTCTCTCGAACATAATGGATGCTTTTGAGAAACGTGAACACCTCTTAACACATTTCTATGACCTGAGCAAGGCTTTTGATTGTGTCTCGTGTGATGTCCTACTGAAGAAATTGAAGTTCTACAATTTCTCAGAGGGCGCCATACAACTACTGGAATCGTATCTGAGTGAACGCACGCAAATGGTAAGGGTGGGGGGAGTGTCGTCTTCTGAGGGTTTCTTAAGGGTAGGTGTACCACAGGGCTCCGTTTTAGGACCTATTCTTTTCCTCATCTTTATGAATGACCTACCAATGACTGAACTAGCCAGATACATAGTTTTTGCAGATGACACTACTCTCACTATTCAAGATAATGATCTACGTGCCTTGGAGTGGAGGTCGCGTGAGGCACGATTGGAGGCCGAAAGTTGGTTTAACGCCAACAGGCTTATGCTAAACGGGGATAAAACTCAAACAATGCTGTTTTCAATGCGAGATACTCAGGATTTCACAAATCCACCCGAGGTGAAGTTTTTGGGATATATCTCGATCCAAAACTCACATGGGATGTGCATACCTACAGAATATGTCAGGAAGGCTGAGGAGCAATGTTTTCTTGCTGAGGAATCTTTGTGACTGTGTATCTCGGGACACAGTGCTGAGTGCTTATTATGGCATGTTTCACTCTGTCATGACATATGGTATTCTAGCATGGGTGGAGCCCCTTCTGCAACCCGAATCTTTGGGCTGCAACGTAAGGCTGTTAGAATTTTGGAGGGTGTGGGGTTTAGGGAAGACTGTAGGCCTGTGTTTGTGGAACTCAACATACCGACTCTTCCATCAGCTTATATTATGGAATGCGTGCTGTATGTCAAAAGGTTTGAACACAAATTCTTGACTCATAGTGATATCCGCGACTATAAAACAAGACACTGCAGCAATATTGTGCCGTCTCATTGCCGATTGTCAAAGTGCCAGGGTCGCCCGGAGTTTATGGCGGTCAAGCTATTTAATAAATTACCGATAGACATAAAAAAATTGCCCATCAACCTATTTAAAGAGATAGTTAAGAAACTAGCATGCTCCAAGGCTTTTTACAGTATACAGGAGATCAACTCAATTTTAAGCTGTTTATATCTGAATTTTAGACTATCTGTATGAATTTCAATCTGTATTTGTTTATTCTCTTGTTTTCTGTTTTAATTTGATAGATAAACAAAAGTAATGGATAGCTCAGCTACTGGCCTATGCTATAGCCTTAAGATTATTATTTTATTATATTGTTGACTTGTGTAAATGCTTTGTGTATATTGACATCAATAAATTTACTTTACTTTACTCCGTAACCATAAGAGATACAGGATTGGTTCTCATGATTCTCACTGTACTTATCTGAAAACTTCCAAAGAATGGAATGATGGAAAGGATGGTACAGGAACGAAAAACTGGTCGCCGATTTTACAGTAGTAGACAGTGGAAGAAGAAGTTTGTGAAGTGTGGAGATTACTACGAATGCACATCTACAAACCTAATTTCAATTATAAAGTCCGATGGCAAAGTCAAAATTTCGCTACTATGTCTAATTCTTAAATTGACCACGATGGAAAATTCTGGAAAAACCTGTTGTTCGATGTCAAACCCATACAGATTGTTTCTGTTTAACAAAAGTTTACTCATTGTTTCCACTAATAAGCTCAAATAAATTTACTGGTTACCTATCTCGCTAGTTAAGTTATCCCCCTAATTAGCTCAAGCTAACCTAATCCACTAGATACTTCACCAATAATTATTTCATTATTTCACCAATTGTTGTCTCACTTGTTATTACACTACTGACACCAAATATCTTTTTCAAATTAACTACGACAACAATATTAAGATTGTCAATGTTAAGTGTTGTAAAATTGCTTAAAAAAGTACCTACTGCCGGTGGATGCTGAGATTTATTCTCGGACTTATTAGAGTGTTGATAGAAAGAATAGTTGAATTTAGATTACGTTGTATAGGGAGTTAGGTGCTACTCTTTATTGTTAAAATCTTTTGTTAGTCAACCATTTGTGCTGGCTGAAAGTCTGCATCGATATCAATAATATACAATTCTCCAAAATTTAAAATCCATTTCCATATATCTAAGGGTAGAAGAAATCTGCTGGTCACCTCATTATAGTAGACAAAGAGATTCAAAACGATTCACGATACAAAACATTATATTACCATCTTATGAATTTTTCATCAAATAATGAAGCTAGGAATATAGTTTTAGAGAATGAGTTTTCCCAACGAGTGAATTGTGTTATAGATATTTTTGGAACGTTTTCACATCGTATATCAAAAGTGTTTTTTCCTGTTTTTAAATTTTATCTACCTATAAAAATGTTCTAGCAATGAACTTACAAAGTACATTATATGGATAAATCAATACCTCTTAAAAATGTACGGGCCAATGGAAAATTCATTCGAAGTAAAAACGAGCAAATGCAAAGTTGACAATAATGGAAAACACAAATTTCCATATATCAAAGTATGGAAATCGATTACTCTAATATATTTATTACTCACCTAGGTCATAATCTTTTATTTTTACTTTTAATAACTTTTTTAGAAGTTATGGAAATATATCACAGGGTTGTAATGCTTTTTTTTAAAGCTATGTAAGCTGACTTTCAGTTTTCAATTTACTTTATACATTTCAGATTTAATCAAATCCCAGATGAAAGCAGAACTCTTGCAGCCAGAATTTTCGAGAATTCTAAAAAATTTAAGTATTTTCAATTTTCCTTAGACCCAGTACGTGCTGCCCTCGTAAGGGTAAAGCCAGAAGTCGCGCCCGGCGCTTGATTTTCGCATTGCGAAGTCCGAATCGAGGGAAAATTTCAGCGGTTTCAGTAGCGAGTTTTCACCAGAGTCGAGTCGATCTTTCCGCCTCCCCATTTCGGTCACGTTTCCATTTAGGACCGGAGGATCATCTATCGGGTGTGCCAAAAAAAAAAATATCGGATCGAAAAAGTCCATTGACGTATCGATTTTTTCGCGATCGGTTTGTGTTTTATTAAAGGTTTTCGATTTGTTGGTGGAAAATTGAGGCGTTGAGTGAAAAAGGATATAATTATTGATACTGAGTGTTTTCCATTTAACGGTGAGTGTAATTTTAGATTTTCGAGTAGCTTTATAACTCGATGCCGGGTATTTGAGTAAGTGATGGATACTTTTTTGATAATGAGAGACACGTTTTTCTTAAATTGAAATTATTTTTGCATTGTATATAATTTTATTACTAATGTACATAATATGAATGTAGGATTTTGATTTTTTTTAATTTTTATTATTATTATTTATTATATCATTATTTTGCTTTCGAAAAATATTACAAGATAGGTAAGTAGGTACCTACTTAATGTTAGTGCGGTGCGCAAAGATGGAGCCAAATAAATATATAAGAAAACGGATTCAGAAAGAGAGAAATAGGGATATAGGGGGGGACGATGTACAAGATGAAATGTTATTTATTGCTAAAATGTTACATTAGCAGAGTAGGTGTGTGGAGTTGGTACTATTATCTATTCACAATCTGTAGTCCAAAGGTACAGGTAAAATTTATCACCTCTCAATGCTATTTGATAGGGAAAGGTGATAAATTTACCTGTACCTTTGGACTACAGATTGTGAATAGGATATACCTAAGATATTAATTTCCAATATCTTATAATCTTGAATTTTATGTCTTTCTGAAACTCACATGACAGAACATATAAAAAATGAACTACAAAAATTATCCCTTTAATTTAAATTCAAAACATACAGGAGGAAATGGAATTTTGATATACCTACAGGGTGTTTCTGGTACCCAATCTGCATCATTCATTTTCTTCCAAGTTCTTCTTCCATCACCATTTTCAACAAATGTTTTCTGCTTTTTGAATTTAAGTAGATAATTTTTAAAATCTGAGTATAAAAACTGATAAACAACACATTCGTTATTGATTTGTTTTTCCATGCAGAAAGCCAGAACAGGAAATTGCAAACTTTTGATGTCTGGTATAAAAACATCAAACACATAGTTTGAAAGTAAACCAAACATCAATTCTAAACTCTGCGAAATTTATCACTCGGTCATAAATTCTCAAACTTCCAAACTTCTTCTGCCCCGTGTTTTTTATACCTACCTTGAAATATTCTGCTCTTCTCTGAATATAAAATAGATGAACTTGCAAACAAAAATATTCACGAATTCATCGATTTGATAACAACAACAAAATATGACTTGTTTGGGTAGCATTTGATTAGTTATATCCTTATAGATTCTTGCAGCCAGATCAGCTGCTTTCGTTCTAAATTCCAGAGGATTTCATCTATAAATGTTCTGCTTCGTTTTGGGTTGTTTCTCTGACTGTTCTAAGATATATTGCCTGTTAGTTTTTGTTTTTCTGGCCAAAGGAAGATACAGCAATGTCTCTCAAATCTCCAATGACAAAATATCTTTTCATCCAAATACAAAATTATGTACATACAATTGATGTGTATGTCACAATAGAACTTAAAACAAATTATCATTGCTTTGCTTCGCAACTCTTGCAGCCTGTTTTTGCTCGCTTTGTTGGCACATTTTCAACTGAGAGGAGAATGGCACGCTACACAATGAAATAATTTTCTTTGATAAAAACATGTATGTACCAGGAAATAGGGTTTAACAAAGGAAGTGAGTAATAGCTTCTCAGAGATTCTAGTTCTACCAAAAACGTTATTTATTGAGCGATTATTTTGAAGTTAGGAAAATATTTATGTTTAAACTAGTGAGAGTTTGCATAAATCTTAAGTAGTTCACTGCTACAATTGGTTTTTTACTCTTGTTCCTTTATCTGCACTATTTTTAATGTTCGGAATACAGAGGATAAAGCAATCTTAGATATAACCTGCCTACCTACAGAATGATTTAGTAAAGCAAGATCAAGTTAAACATTTTTTAACAGATCAAGCAACCAGAGTAACACCTAAGTTTTAAGCTCACAAACTTTCAAGTATTTTTATCAAAGTCATTTCGTATTCTATCGACTACTTTACAAAACTTAAACAAATTTCTGTCTGAAACTTACCTATTCAAATATCGCATACTTATACTCACCTAAACTAAACTTTAGTCAGTGTAAAATTTTGAGGTAGTTTCACGTAAAACGCGGCAAGGATCGTATAGATTCGCCAGACTAAATTAAACTCGAAAGGGTCTTGAAGCTGAATTGCAGCTAATCCAGATAGATCTTGATTAAGGTTCGGCCTGACATTTTGACTCTGCACGATGTCGTGTACAGCATACTATATCTGTGGTAAACGACGGTATTAACACACATCAAATAAGCAAGGCGGGAGTCTATTATTTATTAACGAGATCTGGGAAATTTGATAGCAGAAATTCTGTAGTTTGGTAGGATTGTTTGATTAAAATTGAATGAATAGACATATTTTTGGCTCCTCCTTTAATTGAGTAGATTTTTTTGAGCTTTGACTTCATAGTAACTTGCATAGTATCTAGGTTGAACTCTCATGATAATGACAATTTGAGTTCAATCAATAAATACAGAAAAATTATAAATATAAACACATAAAACTAAAACCTTGAAAACTTAATTCTTATTGTTTTTCATCTGCAAATCTTAGTTTCCCTGCTTTTTCCATCTCATAAGCCTTTTTCCAACACTGCTCAATCATGATCCATTGATCACTTAAAAATCCAACGACCTCACATAAATTGCTTTAAGTTTCTGTTTGCTTGCTTCCTTGTAGACTTTTGGACATTAATCTTTAAAAATAGCTCCACAAATGTGATTATTCTTGGAAAACAAAAAAGAAATTCATTTATCTCGTTTCAGTTTTCCTATAATTTTTCTTCAAAAATAGTCATAAGAGATCAATACTTAGAAAAAGGAAAGCCACCACTTTGGTTACTACTGTTCAATTTCACATTATCTGCCTCACAGTTCCATTGTATTTTTGCTTGACTGTTTCTATCATATTTTTCAAATCGAGTATTTTGCAATCGATCTGCTTACCCTTTTTATTTCTAGATAGTAGGCATATTACTAGAAACAGCTTCTTTAAGCTTAAAGATACTCGAATAGCTATTTTTTCAAAGTAGGTACCTATAGTCTTGCAATGAAAGTAAAAATAAAATATCTTTGAAATTTCGATACACTCTCGAAACACTTTCTGCATACCAAAACAAAATCCAATAATACATTTCCATCGCACTTCCATAAAGTTAATATCTAGAAAACAGGAAAAAGGAGATATCGGCCTACGCATTGATCGCCCCGTTGCGATTTTCGAAGATAGACTTTTCGACGCCAGACGACCTTCTGACATGGTTTAGAGCCAGAGCCGTGGGGGAGGCAGAACAACTTGTTTCTTTCGGAGAAAACTTCAGGAATTACGGTCGGAGCCTGTTTAATACGCAGGGCTGAATGTTAAGCTGGATGAAAATAAAAACAAATGATCGTCATGGAAATTTTGTATTGTATACTTTGAGGTCTGAACTTTCCATTTCCATTGATATTTTTTACTGATATTGCGGTTGATTTAATAAGGGCTTCTACTCAGAATATAGAGGCTAGGGTCAGTATTTATATGAATAGATTTTGCAAAAATTGGTCGTTTGGAAATAAAATCAAAAAATATGGCTCAACTTTAAAACGTATTGATTAAGGTAAGGAATACTCTAATTTATTATTTCTATAAAATTACTTTAAAAGTAGTTTTGAGTTCTCAATGATTAACCTATTAGCCAACAAAAATATGTATATTTCACAATAAAGATTTTCTCTTTGTTCCATTTCCACCTCTCATAACATAACAAATAGTTTTCGTCGAAAACAAAGGTGAAAGAAAACAGGAAATTTGTCCACACATTGATCGCTGCTTCCAGATATATAGACTTCTCGACGCCATTAGCCTCGTGAATTTCCTAAAGACCCAAAACAAAACAAGTTGTTTCGAAAATTGATGTGAAACGGCGGTTTCGTTTCGACTATCTAGAATTTTGGAATATTTAAAAATTTCATTTTCTTGCTCCCCACTTAATTTGTTAACATATTCAATTATAAATAAATTATTTCGAAACATGACTCCTAAGTCAACTTAAATACTGCTGTATTTTAGTGCAGCACCCAATTTACATTCCGGACACGATAGAGCAAACCTCTTGGCAGACAATTACTTATTATAACTATTAATTACCCTCGAAGGGTAATTTAGCCTTGGCAGCATGCTAGATCACGTCCACTCTTTATCCCCAGTTACTTAATGGAACAACCATTCTTTGAAAGTGAACAAACATTTATAAAAAGCTTATATTGTTCTCAATTTTTGATAAAATCATCCCTGAAATATTTTTCATTATTGCATTTGGAGCTGGTAAGCCTTCAAAGCCTTTCGGTCGATAATCCTGTTCAAACTATTTTTGTACTTTTTTGATATTTCATACCAAAGGCGAAATTGAGACGTGCAATGGATGATAGATTGACCTTTTAGAAATACCCTTTTCATCTTCGTTCGGTGGATTAAGAAAAAATCACAAGTACCTATCTAATGAAAGTTCAAATCCAATGTTCCATTTCACTTTAACGAAACTAATTAAACATTTAATTATGACGTCTTTCAATTACCTTTTGAATAGCAGGCCATGAAAATGAGTTTTTATAATTTAAATTTGCAATCATGTTTCAGCTTTAATTGGATTGTGGGATTAATAAATGAACAGAATTTGATTTCATTTGAAAAATCGTTTGTATTAATTATCGTCGACGTTTTTTCTAATACGTAAGGCTGAAGTGTCTGAGTCTGGGAGGCAGACCCAACGATTGGGGACAATGTGTTGATAGAGGTCCAACAACCAGTTCCATGACGACTGACTGTATCAAAGAGGCCTAGACAGTCAAGGATCTTTATACAAGGTTCCTCAAACTGCAAAACTGAACAGGAGAAAACTAAGAGCCATTACAGGCGTCCTGACGAGAGTTAAAGGATTCCTTTTTAGGAATCACTTTTTAAAAAATAATTTTGTTTCGAAAAATACACTTTAACAATAATTTTGACTCTAACAGAGTATCTACAAAAATAAGGTTTGTATATTTACCGCAAAGGAAAAGT